CGTCATCCATGGCTCCCATGGCAGCGCGCTTCTGCTCGGGCAACCAGTTGGGTGGCACTGGTGCTGAGTAAGGAGACAGCAGTCGCTTTACCAGCGGATTCAGCGGGTTCAGACTGAAACCGGTGGATGCCGCCAGACAGGCACAGAGTGTGCTCAGCTGCAGCGGTGACATGGCAGACGGCAGGCGTACTGGACTCTGAACTGCCTGTCTGTCTGCCTGCCTATGAATTGCTGCCCTATGTCGATGCCATTGCGCATTTATACCAGCCCCAGGCCGGCATGGGGGTCAGCACATCATGTGGGTGGAAAACGCGCAAAGTGCGGAAAGTCGCGCTACGGATCGCGGTCAGGCCGGTCAACGAACTGGGAGGAGATCAATGGCCGACGCACTCGCCGAGAGCCCCCATCGGCGGCGCGGCCCACACCGGCACCGGCGCTAAATATGCACCCAGACCGTAAACAGGCCGCAAAAACGGCCCTGCGAGCAGTTTCAACATTGATCCATCATTAACACCTGGCCTGCTATGATTGACTTTCATTTACCTGTGGTTTAAAACTCTGCAAGCGTAGTTCGATTTAGTTGAACGCATTAAGGTTTGCATGTGTGCATAACTTTGCATATAAAAATTCTAGTTATGCCGTTCATGTCAGACAGGCAAAGATAAAGCTGTAATTACTCGGTAAGGACTGTGCTTTGCAAGAGTAAACTACATTTAACTATTTCACATTATCATGAAGGTGAAATGTTGGGTTAAACTTAGGAACCTTGCAAGATCTATCAATGCTCCATCAACATCTTACATTGAGATTCTACTAGATAGTCCATTCCTATCGGTCGTCATGGAACCCGCGAGTGGTATGCCATGCAGTCTGAGGTCAACTGGTGATCATTGTGGAATAACGGGACATTTATACGATCGAAAATGATCACAATGTGCTAAACTTGTTTTCATCGATTTATAATGTTTATTCGTGTCCAAATATTGTTAAAAGTCAAGTTAAGCTCAGGTAAACTCCGGTCAGGTCAGGTAATTTGACCGAGGAGGTCGTGCTATGTATTAACTTATCTTAACTGGGAGCTATTTACGAAAACACTGATGACCTAAAATGGTTTTCGTCCTAACGTCGTAAGTGACGGCACACAAAGCTCTTAATGCTAAAATTCCTCAAAAGATTGTCCGTGTGCGGGTATCACACACGGATGTTTCAAGCTGTTGAGATGTAAGCTTCACAACGCTAGTTCGGCCAGTTGCAGGTGCTTCTCTGGTGTTCCGGCCGCCAGCAGATGTCCTTTGGCCTTTGGATAGGCTCAGGAGTTGTAAGCGTAGTCATCTAATGACTGTATAAAACTATGACATTTCTGGACCGTGCAGAATCTGCGCATTGCGTCACGATCTGACTTGGCCTGAATGGGAATTATCCAGGCAAGTGCTAAATAAATGGGCTGGCTGGAATCAAACACCAGATTGATTAAATTTCACGTCGATATGTAACTCGTCTTGAATGGGCAATCGCAAAAAGTCGGGGTTGGACGAATCGCCTACCAAACTTTTTTCCGGCCTGGGTGATAGCCTGTTTTTTTGATGCTGCAATATACGCATTGTGCAACGATGAATAGAACGTGTCATTCTGATTATTATGACAATCGGCATTCATATATCTGTAAAAGCAGTGTGCTATTTCTACAAGTAGTCTCTTACCACTATCGTCTAGTCGTGCGTCTAATTTCTAAATCAACAACGCACATCGCAATTGTTCTATAAAAAAAAAACTAGCAGAAATAGTAACTCTAGCGCAGAAAATGGGCAGTGGTATTTTGGGATGGCATCGTTGTGATTGAAGAACTGAAGAGTGAAGAGTGGTCACTTTCGTGACATAACTCATCTTAACCCGCGCCCCACGGGGGGGGCTATTTATAGCCCCCCTCCCGTTTTTCTGCAATAACTTCCAAACCGCTTGACGTATCGATGCCAAACTTTCAGTACCTTCGGCTGCATCAATTTGACACCTTGTGTCAAAATTTGAACTTCGTAGCTGCCATAGGTCGGCCGGAAATGACGTCAGAGTGACGTCATGTTCGTCCGATTTCGACGCAAAACATTGAACCACGGCAATCGCTCCCAAGAGCTCAGTTTTTAAGCTAGATCCAATTTCTTTGCATGAAAGGACTCAGAATTGACCGCGCTATCAAACTGCTATCTCGGATTTTCAAAATTTTGAAAATTTCGAAAATTTTATACAATAATATTCAAAATTTATATTTTTATATTTTTTTCAAAAAGTTTTTGACTTTTCGAAAAAACCGGAATATATGTGACAGAACGCATGATTATGACTAACTCTAGCAAGTTTTAGCTAAATATCTTCAAAAATGACCAAGTTATACGCATTATTGCAAAAAATTCACAATTATTAATTTTTCAAATCAATTTTTCAGTACGTATTTGACATCGTACACCAATATAAATGGCACCATCGTGTTCCTGAGCTCAAACTGCATCCATTAGACACCTTTTTTGTTGAAAAATTTTAACTTCAAAATTTGACCTTTTTTTGACCTGAAAGTGACCTGACCTAAGCTAAATTCGACTCAAAATGACCTTGAATGACACAGACGACATCAAATTCGAAATCTATGGCCTAAATGGACCATAAAACATGTGTCACGTGACCGACGCATGATATAATATTTTCGTGACCTGTGATGACCTGACCCTGACCTGAAAATCAAAGTACAAGTTTGGTACCATCAAGGTATCTAGAGCATCTGTTCACGAGTGTGGAAACCAAAAATGAGCCTGATCTGACTTGTAAGACGGCGGCCAGAGTCCAAAATGTGAACAAGCCAAAGTGCTAATAATTTTTACTTTGACCTGACCTGTGACGTCATCGGTGACCTCGAGGTCAATGAAATTAGGTTTCGCTCTACAGTTTTTCCGGGGCTATCAGACGCCGTTTGAATTTTGACGATCGGCCCAGTAGTTTCGGAGTTAGGAGGGGGGCTATGAATAGCCCCCCCCCCCCCCAGTAGGGCGTGTTATACACAGACCCCAGTGGGGCGCGGGTTAACAGATGCACGCTTGGACAATATTAGCCGTTTTCACGACGGCCATCTGGTACACATTTGGTGCACATCTGGTACCGATTAGGTGCAGATTTGGTCAAATCACGCTCAGTGTGTTTCTTAGCAGCTATCAGCTAGGGTTGCACTACATAATTGCTTGCTCGTGCCGTATGAGTTCCAGGTCATCTGCCTGATAACTCGTCGGAATTATTAGGCATGTTTTTACATGAATGCTGAAATTTATTTACAACACAAGTTCATCAACAGATACCGGGAGTAAACATGTTCCAGAGGCAATTATTCATCCATGCCGCAACAACATAGCAGAAAACTTGCAACGGAAATGACAAGCAAAACGTTCTGGATGTCACTGTTGGCTTCCGTCGATATAGCCGACATAACTCGACCTCTTATACGACGTTGAACTCGACTATCAAAAATGGTGCGGTCCAGCCTAGCGAGGGCTGGCCTTAATATATTTTGTATGTTTATATGCTTATACATTCATATGTGTATTTTATTTCATTTCCGTTAATCGCAAAATTGCTCGCAAGGCGGCCAACTACTGTAGCATGAGGTCGGATAAGGTTATTCCTACAAAAATGATTCAGATGGTTACGGAGCGAGCGAAGCGAGCGTAGTCTTTCCTTAGATTAACGGAAATTTCTGAGTATGAGCGGCCGGCCGGCCGGCCGGCCGTGCGGACGCTTTTGCGAGGCTTATATCTCAGCAACCACTTGACCGATTTACACGCGGTAATTTTTGTAGGGTAGCTTCATTCCTTCTACCAAGTATTGGACTATTCCCGATGCATGTGGGTGACCCCTTATGCACGTGCCACGTGCAAAACGAAGAGGTGTCACTTTTGTAATTGTTGCAATATCTCGGTAACTACTTGGCCGATTGCGCTGAAAGTTGGCATGTAGGTAGGCACCCACTAGGCAATGCATATCCATGTGCCAGAGTTGGGGTGCTGCTGCACGTGCGCACGTGCAGGGGTCGTTTCCAGATCTCGAGAACGGCTGGACCGATGGCGCTCAAATTTGGTGCACGGTTAGGGACCAGTTAGTAGGGTGCCGTGCACAAGTCCGTTGGGACCCATTTTGCACGTGCGCACGTGCAGGGTGCCGCTTCCAGATCTCGAGAACGGCTGGGTCGATTGTGCTCAAATTTGGCACATCGCTAGAGACCGGTTAGTAGGGTGCCGTGCACAAGTCAATTAGAGGTACCCCCTTGAAATTTCGCACGTGCAAGGCCCACCCTCTCGCTCGCTCCGTTAGTCGCCCCAAAAGGCGTTATACTGGTTATATAACACGCGACATGTCCGGCGAAATACGCACAACCGAATGTGGTTAAACGACCACTCTGACTTACACTTACATATGGTCTTAACTACCCAATAAGGCATATACAGAATTATACACTACAAAGTCATGCAAAGAAATCATTGTGCGCGCACTTGAACAAAGAGTTCATAGAACCTAACATTCCGGTAATAAAATCGACTGACAAGTAAGGCACTGTACCATAAGGCACCGTAAAGCGGCCCAATTGGATGCGTGCGAAATACACGTTACAAGTCCTTGCCGCAGTTAATCGACTACGTGAAAGCGTTTCAGCGATCACGGGACCACTATACGCCTCTGAAGATGCTGAATGGGCCCATCGCCTACGCAAGGCGGAGTTGGGGATACATTACTCACTGTTCAAGTATATACAAAACAGGTATAATACAGAAAAGAATAGACACAATTGCACAATGCACATTGCACACCCTACATACAAAGTCTTGAAATAAAAATCGCCAAACATGGCTGATGGCGCGGGCCTTGCGCCAGTCCATTCAAAGATCTTCGGCTAAATTTGAATGCAGTAAGATGAAAATATATAATTGATATCTAATTCACTATTTGCATTCGAGACGCTCTTCTGCTGCCTATGTGGCAGCAGAATAGATCGGTTTCGTCATTGGAATCCGGGTGTCTCCGATGTAGGTAATTTCCACACCGTCTGGACGGATCGCCACTTTCTTGACATCACCGACCTTTGCTCTGTCGCCGGTCCCTGGAACACGAGACGAAAGGAGAGGTCAGCTTCGCCATCCTTTAGATAAAACACCCACGGTACTCGCTGGCATTCAATACTCCGTCACAATACACACTACCAGCCGTTTTCGCTAGGCAATGGGAGAGATCATGAGAGTGAAATATTTGCGGTGATGAGTAAGGTAAAAGTTTTACGATTTCATTCAAATGTTTTACTGAATACAAGTCTGAAGACAGAACAATATCAAAGCTAGATATGGAATATGGATGCCTCTTTAAAAAAGGAAAACAGCGTTGATGTGCGGATATAATGTAGCATGTAAAGCTTTAACCCTCGCCGGCCGAGGGGGGGGGGGGCGGGTGCCGCCCCCCCCCATAGGGTTTTTTCGCGATAGCTCCGAACACGCTGGCGATAGAGAGCTGAAACTTGGCATACCTGACCTTTGATCCAAGCCGGATCTTTTGACACCAACCGCATTTTTGGGTCAGGTCAGGTCACTGACCTATGACGTCATAAGTGAACCTCTGCACGGTCTTCAGATGTCGCAACTTCGCAACGCCCTCACTGCCAGAGGAGATGTCACAGGGAAATGAAACTTGCAGGATCTAGTATCCATTATGAGTCCCACAACTTGTATATCTCGGATTTTTCCTAAAGGTCATATGAGGTCAGGTCATTTTCGTGACCTCACCATTATAAGTCAATGGGGAAAAATGAAAACTGCTATTCTGGCGCCGGGAACGATCTCCAACTATCTCAAGCACACAGAATCGTGATTTGATGCACTCCTTGCAAGGCTAGATGCGTCACTTTTGCAATGCTGACCTTGCGTGACGTCATTTATGACGTCATCAAGGTCATATTAGTTTTTCGTCAATAACTCTTGATCAAATTGAGCTAGCGAGTCGGGAAAGCCACCAATGGACTCAGGAAGACCTGCCGAATCGAATGATATGCGACATGACCTCTTTCGACCAACTTCGTGACCTGGGGGTGCTGACCTGACCTTGACCTGAGGTCAACACCCCAAGTTGACCTGACCCGGACAAAAAGTATATCATTCGACGCGCCTGAGCGAGACGAACACGATGCTGCTAAAATCGGCGCTCTGCGGCCATTTTTTGCGAAGTTATTCACCAAAAACTGAACCGTACCTTGGGGCACTTGACCTGACCTCAGAGGTCACCGGTTGACCTAGGACCTTAAAATCGGGTACCAATCTCTGCGTCTCGTAACGGCGCACACGCTCGTTTTTTCCGCGACGCGCTAGCTCCACCAGCGGCGAAACGGCGAGGGGGGGTCGTACCCGCCCCCCCCCCCCTCGGCCGGCGCGTATGTAGAAAACCAATAGGTCCGGCGAGGGTTAAGTTTACGCTCAGTGACTTATTTACATCACCGGGGCATCGGGGGAACTTGAAATTACAGTTAGTTCGCTGCGCTGGGTAGCATATGACATTTATATGAAATTAGCACAAACATCAGAAAATTTACATCGCCCCATACACATGTCACTGACGTCTGACACCGCTTCCTTGCACTCGCTTACCCAATACGTCGGGTGAGGCGTAGCTTCCCCTGGCCAGGCGTATCAGGTTCCATACCAGCAGGCATAGGAACTCGAGAATTTCAGCCACCATTATGATGGAGATGCCCAGGTAAAGTGACATGGCACCTCCTAGGCTGCTGAAGAAGGAACTATACTGCAAACGATAAGAGAATAAGGCTTGACACATCCACCGAGAGCCGAACTATGAAGTATCTATGCTTACATTTTATTTTGTTTCATTTTTGTAGACAGAAATCATCAGGTAAAAAAGAAACACTGACGAGGCCCTCCTTTTTCATTCCTACATTTGTAATCTGCGTCAACTATTGAGGCAATTTTGAACCGTGTTGACCAAAACAGCAGCAATAATTATAACAACAACAACAATAACAACAACAACAACAACAACAACAACAAATTATCACCTACCGTATAAAACTCGGATTGGGTGAGAGCCGCCGTGTTGAGTGTCTTAAAAAACACCTTAATCTCGAGGATGTTGGAGGCCAGCTCTTTCCGGCTATCGGGTGTCAGTCCCCTGATGTCGATACCCATCTGACTGGCCGCCTCGATCTGTCGAAACCAATAAGAATCTTGCAGAACATTCATCAGGGTCATGCTCGCTGGTGCCTTGGTGCTCTTAATAAGTCTCTATTTCAAAATTGTATCGTTGCATTGCATTACCTACTCGTAAGAATCTACAATACCCATCCACACAACTTGTAGTCCCAAACATCATGACGTAGTACTGCTCTTATTTACAAAAGTAACCTTTGATAACCTTGCAATATTCAGCTGTTAGAATTCTATCCATGCACGTTTATGCGACAGTAGGTCGGTAAACCTTCGGGTGTTTATCAGGATTAATGGGAAATTAGTGGCACGACACGAGGTAGCGACGGCGACACGTGAGACGCAGATAAGGGGAGCTGTATGGGAGCGAGGAGGGACGTGGCCGGGCTGGGCGCAGTGGGGATGGGAGGGGAGGGAAGAGGGGGAGGGTGGTTTACGAGGGGCGGGCGCGGGAGACGTTGACGGGAGGAGTGGACCAGTGCGAAGAGTGACGGAAATGAGGGCGGACGTAGTTGAAGAGCGATTGATCTAATTTTCCAGTTGTACGCGCCTCGAACTTTGGTAAAAAGCGTTTGGGAATCGGTAAACATGCCTCGAGACATTGAATATATATTCCTTATTGTCAACAGTCAATCGTATAAATGGCAGTGCATGAGCAGCTAATTAGTCGGTTAATTTGTATCCCGTTCTGTGAAAGTGCTCCTAAGACATTTAAACAAAACGCTGGGGTGGTATATTAGACGCGCTAACGCAAACCCCCACCCACATACACACATGCACACACATGTCGCTTGACGTGACGAATTGGAGACACATTCCCACCAATTATGCATATCCACAGCGCCGACACCTACTCGCATTAACACACCAAAGCCAACCGACCGGGGTCATTAAACCAGCGCCATCAATGACCGAACGCATGGCGATCACGCCAGCCCAGCGGCGCAGGGAGGGCTCGGGTGACCCTGACCCAGCGCGGGGGTCCCACGCGTCTGTCAGTACCGCGGGGACCATAGCCACCGACGGGACAACACAGCAGGACGGCGTCACAGCGCGGGGAGCGGGAGTGTCGGTGGTGTCGGAGTTCTGCTCACATCGCCGGCGAAATTGATTACAGACGCTTATCAATAGTCGCGTTTACATAGCATTTTTGACGACGCTCTAGCTCATTTATTTTGCAATAATTTCGATGCAGTGATCTTTGCATATTTAGAGGGGATAATTTTGTAAATTGTATAGCACCATTGGCATATTTTGAAACATAACGGGAGGGGCTATAAGCTTGCAACAATCCCTATGTAAGCGGGGCTAATGTTTCGTTAGCGAAATGATGCATGTTTGCAGCCGTAGATAAAACGGCATGCATTAAAGCGAACAAATATGCACTATGAGGACACTGGAATTAATGTGTGTTGAGACTTTTACGGCAGTATGGTGCTTACTGCTTCTTCAATTGACAGGTTCGAATAACGGCATACTCGATTGACGTAATAGTTTAAATCTCCAATTTTGAGCCAAAAATAATTTATAACCGTAAGGTGCCGCAGCCGAAACGTACATAGCACATACTACATAATGTCATAAGCATGTCCGATATAGCCCTACCAAAACATTTATAAAGTCTCTTACGATCGTCAATAGCCGGAGGGACAGATGTATTTACGTACTACTGACTATAGCGTTCATCCGTTCGTAAACGGCATTGTGTGAAATGACGCAGATGGACAGGGTTTAACCATAACGGATGATAAATCAACAGCAGAAATCAATTATGTCCGTTAGTCAGTCAGTGGACAAATAGCAGAAAAAAACACGAAACAGCGAGCGTCGACCTAGGGACAAACATAAGAATTACTTTGATTAAAAGCGAAGCGGAAGTCGCGATCGCTGGAAAGCGGCGTTGTCGATTGTCCGATCGTCTGTGTTGGAGGGCCAAAGCGCTGACTAGTCGATACAACATGCAACAAACCAGTTTGGAAAACAAACCACAGAAATTATTATGGTCGAACAATTTAAAACAGTAGGCAGTCTCGCATAAAACATGAACACCGAATGTTAGGGATTAGAGCCGCTTCGGTGCATGCGGCGAGCAATAACAGTGCCTGAGATTAAATTAAGTGTGCTCAGTTCCCAGAATACGAGGCAGTAGCATGTCAGATAGATTGCCGAGCTTGTGTGGTATGTACTCACCAGGTAGACGTCCCGCGGCCACTCGGCCATCGACTGGAACGTGTTGAAGGACCTCTCGAAGCAGGCCGACGGACAGTGGCAGGTGACGTCGCCGTTGTCAAACTTCTGCTGGATCGAGTTGGTGCACTCGGTGTCGTTCCCTGTCAGGAATACAGATTAGCTGCCGAGTCTATAGCTCTATAGCTCGACTTACTAATGCTTCTTAACCCGGCAGTTGCTGGGGTATTTCGCCACCCACCGTTTGCTGGGGGGGGGGCGTTAAACGCCCCCAGCCGATAACTCGAGAACCAATAGGCGCAGCGAAACGCACGAGGCGGCAAACGAAAGAGCGCGACGAGACGCTTCAGATGAGTACTTTAAAGTTGAATTTTGAGGTCACAGGTCGGGTCAAGGTCAGGTCAAACACCTGAAATCGGGCTTTCAGTAGCATGGTCTTCAGGACTTCGAAATGGGCGCCGCTCGCCATAAACTCTGTGAAAACGGTGCACAATCCATCTTATAAGGCCTACAAGAGTGTCAGCTCCATGTAGGGGTCAGTCAAGCATAGGTCAGGGTCAAGGTCAGGTCAACCGGGTAGGCACATATCCCCGAAAATCAAAACTGATATTTGCAGCCTGTGACACATGTTTTATAGGTAATTTTGGGCGTAGAACACGATGGTGACATTCATTTTATCATATGTGTACGTGTTTGGCTCAAAAAGTTCAATTTAAGAAATTCATGTATCATGGTCGTGAAGTAGTCACGAAAAATTGCCAAGGTTCAGTTCAAGATTATGGAACATGCGGAACGATAATCAATAATCGAAGATAGCCATTTGATTGATCATGGTATTGGCAGTCTAATGGCGTTTACGGCATGTCTGTATGTCTATTCTGTGATTTTATATGATTTTTTGAACATATGCGGTTTTTGGTCGAAAACTCAGAAATCATGACGTCACTAAAACCTCGATATCTCAAAAATTTTCCGACCAATTTTTTTGAAACTTTGTCACAATAAACTTCAATCGATTCCCTACAGGTACAAAAAATTTGGCGCGCCTGCGGCGCGCCGTTTTTATGCTATGGCCCGGCGAAAAAAGTGGGGGCGTTTAACGCCCCCCCCCCCCAGCAACTCGCGGGTTAAAAGCGTGTTTGCCTAAAATAGATAAAGACGAGTGTTTGCCCAAATTTATCAGGATACCAACTCAAACGCCGAACAGCAAAGGAAATTTCCAAGAAAAATATAAAGACGGTGCAAAACGGTCGTCCACGTTTTATCCTAGACTCACCTTTGACTGTGAGCAGGCAGGGCCGTATTCTCTCCAAAAGCGGCTTCCCGTGTTTGCGGAACGTTAAGGGCGACGGATATTTCGCGTGCTGACAGTCGCAGCGCTCAATAAACAGACTCTGCAGGCACATCTTCTGACAGCGCTGGAACGGAGACCGGTCACTCGATCAGAACATTCCTAAAAATGGCAAAAACTCTGATCTGGTAGCTCTCGAAAGATGTATCATCGCCGATCTTACATTGTGTAACAAATGCCTGCACGCCATCCATCAACAAATGTTTGTGGTCGACTGATTTTTACGAAAGCAGTACTATCATTGAAGTTCATATTTTTTTTTTCTTAGGTTTATAGTTTCGTACCGTAGTGGAGTAGCTTTCTTTGACGTCCTCATCAGTGGGTGGCACGGGAACATATTCTGCGTCCGTCCACTCTGTGATGCATTGGGACTTGTATGGGTATGGCAGCCTTTGAATCGTCAACTGTGGAGTGACACATACAATTTCACTGTAACAAGAAGCGTGCTCAAACAGTCCTGAAATGCATATTTCATTATCAATACCTCCGGTAGATTTGCGTCGAAAGAAAATGGCGTGATTAATGAGACATCAATTGCTAAAAACAAATAAATGATTATCAGCAATCAATCATAAAAACATTAACCCGCGCCTGGACGGTGGTTTGATCGTAGCACATCGGTAAGGGACGTTTTTACGCCACCCGCTTCTAACTCAGCTCCCCCAATCAACCGCTGATATTCTATTACCATCCTCTAATAAATGGTTCAATAGATGCCGCCGTATAGTAAGAGATCGAACAACGCAAGAGGGCGTAAAAACGTCCACAGCCGGCAGTCGCGGCTCCGGCTAATAAATCAATCCATCATCTTACAATGCATCGCTATAAAGACAGTCCCTTTCTCTTCATTCGGCCACTCTTTCCGCCACCCGTTCCGCTAATCACTGCTGACACCTGTTACCCACCTGTTCGATGGCGATCGAGGTGGCCACGTTGGGCATCACGCTGAGCCCACTGTCCTCGACATCCGGCTGCTGGTCAGGCTGGTGCACCTGCACGCGCGCCCCCTTCGTGGCCGTCACCGGCGGGAACGTGTGGTGGTTCAGGTCCAACAGCAGGTCCAGGCCTGAGGCGGACATGACTCAGTCAACAGTGAAAGGATTTCTGAAGGCTGAGGCAGGAGCCTTTCGAGGTTCCAGCACCAAAATGAACCTATAAATAAGACAAGAGCGCGCGTCCCGTTAGACCAGTGACACGCTCCCGGCAGTGTCACACTTACTGTACTGCTGTCCCGTTAGACCAGTAACACGCTCCCGACAGTGTCACACTTACTGTACTGCTGTCCCGTTAGACCAGTAACACGCTGCCGACAGTGTCACACTTACTGTACTGCTGTCCCGTTAGACCAGTGACACGCTCCCGACAGTGTCACACTTACTGTACTGCTGTCCCGTTAGACCAGTAACACGCTCCCGACAGTGTCACACTTACTGTACTGCTGTCCCGTTAGACCAGTGACACGCTGCCCGGCCAAGGGGTCGGAGGTCTCCGTCACGTTCGAGTTGAACGTGAAACAGTTCCCGTACTCGGCTGAAGATGTGGTTCGAAACAGGCTGCAAGCGGAGGTTTTAAAGTCAGGACTTGTACACATCACTCGTCGAGAACCAAGAAGGGCGTTAAGCACCAGGCACGGCTATAAATCAAACATCGTGTTTCTACTGTGCCTAATATACTGTGCCTAACTGCCTAATATAAAATTACCGCATATAAATCGGTCAAGTGGTTGCTGAGATATAAGCGTCGCAAAAGCGTGACCATGGCCGGCCATCATATCGCACATCATTCGATTAGGCTGAAAACCTTAGGGTGGTTGCATCAACGTCCCTGGCCTGGCGAGGGATATACGCTGAATCTGTTGGCAGTGGCGGATCCAGCTCAGAGTTGGGAGGGGGGGGGGGGGCAAACCATAACAATTTATCGATTCTTTCCATGCCTCGTCCATAGGCGTGATGTTAAAATTATGCCGTTTGGGAGGGGCAAATGCCCATTTTGCCCCCCCCCCCCTGGATCGGCCACTGTCTGTTGGTAAAATTAGGAACTTCCTTGACTCTTAAGAAATATGTGCTTTGATAGAATTTTACAGTACAAAACGGTGCTTCTCAAATCGCGCTTCAAGAGGTGAATTTATGTAGACGTTTTCCGTCCACGTCTGATCCTTGTGCTTATTATAGTTGTTATAAATCATGTATGGCAGTTGAGCTCTTATGCTTAGATTCAGGACCAGGTACGCGTAAACAAATAAGAATTATATAAAAAAGAGTGGCTATGGCTCTATTACTCACAGTTCATCTTTGCATGACGTGCCCAGGTAAGTACAATCTTTGATGAAGTCTTCCCAAGCTATGCCAATCCTTATTCTTTTAGCTTCCGACAGCATCATAAACTCGTTTAATCTGTGCATGTCTTCGTCGTATGCCTTGCTCGCTTTGAAATTACCCGGATCTAGCTTCCTCACGCGAGACCTTGGATCCTGAAAATGGGACCCATAATTAGTTCAGCTCGCTTGGGAAAAGGGCGTATATCGACTCACTGAAAATTGAAATCATTGTATGGCCGACACGCTGCACTTCCAATAAATCCAATTCGGCAATTCGGTAAGTCTTTTTCGCTTCACTTTGAATGGCATAACGAACCAGACTGGCAATTGGCCCATTACGTTGACATGACCATCTTGGCAATCGAAGACATTGTATGAATCACCTCTGAGAGCGAAAAACTGACGACTACCGCACTGGTTGATATCCGTCAGGGAGGTATCTGATTTGCGTGCTACATACACATGTAAGAAATGGACGGTAAACAACGGACGGGATAAGCGCAACCTGACGGTGTCTGGAGACTAGGGCAATAAAATACACCTAGGCTGGACAGTGGACATGTGAGCGATGATGATTAAACGTTAGGGTGCATACTCCCTGGTTAATTGTCTCCTCACATTTGAATCCTGTAGCTCCGCTTCGATGACGGCTCGCTTCCTCCGCAGCTTTTGTGCCACAACATCGGTGTTGTCTGTTGACCCAGCCGCCCCACCGTCCGCAGTGTCTGCTGATTTCACCGTTCCACTTTCGGTGTTGTCTGTTGATCCAGCTGCAGTGTCTGTTGATCCAACCGTTCCATCACTGACAGTGTCCGTTGATCCAGCCGTTCCATCACTGGCAGTGTCCGTTGATCCAGCCGTTCCATCACTGGCAGTGTCCGTTGATCCAGCCGTGCCATCATTGGCAGTGTCTTTGGATCCAGCCGTGCCATCACTGGCAGTGTCCGTTGATCCAGCCGTTCCATCATTGGCAGTGTCCGTTGATCCAGCCGTTCCATCACTGGCAGTGTCTTTGGATTCAGCCGTTCCATCACTGGCAGTGTCCGTTGATCCAGCCGTTCCATCATTGGCAGTGTCCGTTGATCCAGCCGTTCCATCGTCCGTCGTGCCTGCCGATGCTGCCGTTCCGTCGGTATCGCCTGTTGACCTCAGTACCCCACCGGTAAACGTTTTCGGCTGCGGGCAGGTCGTGTTGCATCCAATAAACCCAAACACCCAATCAAGGTCTTCGGCCATCTCTGATCCACCACCTTTTCGGCGAAGCATTTCTAGCAGTTCTTGTAGCGTTTCGCACTGTTCGCATTCCAGGCAGGAAACAGACTTGTCTGCTAGCCAGCTTCTCGTTACAGTACCAGCCACTATTGTCCATATGTATGGACATTGCAGCCCACTGGGATCCAAACAGCGAAACGACTTGAGGAGTTTGCTGATGTGCCCGTTGTCGGGTTCGCCCAGCGAGGTGCTAAGCAGGCGGCGGCAGTCGATCTTGCTCTGGCTGCAGACGGTGACTGCCGGGAAGTTGGCCGACCTGTCGTACACCACCTCCATCTGCGTGCTGTGCGGGAAGGCGTAGTAGTCCTCGATGACGTCCACCACGTCCATCACCGTCATCACCAGCCCGATGGCGAACAGCACTAGCCAGATGAGCCGCTGCGGTCGCCAATCGGCGCTGTAGGCGTTGGAGAGGCCGCCGACCCCCGTGCGACCCCAATACTGGCGGCCGGTGTCTTTGAGCACGCGTCCGACCGACACCCGGGCGGTCATGGCTGCGACCGCCGACCGTCGGCCTCTGACCCTGCCGACCAGTGGCACCTCTAAATGACCGACCGACCGACCGGCGGCCGCCCGACATGCCCCCTGCTCATGGTAGCCACGGTGACTGAGACACACACACAGCGGAGGTGTGCGTCACGACGTATCGTGTTCTCAGCCCAGTGTTTGTTAGTGTGGTTTGCAATTTGCAAACAATACATTGAGCATTTAACATGTCCACAGACATGCAATCAACGATGTCTGGACTGAAGGATGGTTGTGGAAAAAGGTTTATACCAGTGGTCGGCAGGTCCTCCGGGGTCGTGCCCCCTTTTTTGGCGCCAGGCAGGGCCATTACCCCCACCTACCAGACCCCATTGGTGATACAACCAAGGTTACTGAAACTCCATACTTTTCCGTGACTCTTTGGGTACCATATCTGCGAGAAACCGCAGGCCCCCTCCGCTGCGGTTTCTCGCAAATATCTCAAAAACGTTGGCACGGAGCGCCACCGATTTTTGAAACATTTAATCATACATCGTTTCTGCACATGTTGTGAATATTTCAGACCAGTCACTCAATGTCAGGTCACCAGATCACGTCAAGTGACCTCACCTCAGTAAAGACTGCAACGCCTGCTTTAGCTGCATTGAGTGACAGATCTCTTTCAAACTTTCAGGAATTGATAAAGGCAACAACATGTACAAAATTTGTATCTCGGAGATTTGATGTCGGTGACCAAAGTTCAGGTCAATTTCACGCCCTCTCCCATTATCAATGGGAGGGCGCAAAGTCAATGGTAGAAAATTGAAAGGCGCCTCTTTTGGACCATTGTCATTCCTAACACTGTGACACTCTTATTTACAAGTAAACATGACCGCTGAAACGGAAAATTGCACCCGTAACCCCACTGTATGTCCCTGAGGTCATTTCAGGTCATGAATGGTATCTAACAGCTATTCGCTAATAACTTTTGATAAAGGCATCCCACTTCCCAGAGCGATGAAAATGCCTTAGATGTGCTCAGCTCGACGATACGGATCGACTGATGTGCAACAAAACCTTCGATGCTTCTCGACGGGAGGATCACGATGCTGATAAAAGTGAGCTCTTGCAAGTTTTGAGTGAAAAGTTATTTAACAAAAACTATCAGCAAGCAACGTACATTTTGGCAGTTTTTGTCTCCTGCAGGCTAAACCATCTTCGGTTGAATCTGAGGGCAGGCATCAGAAAAAACGTTAAGAGAGCTATCGAATGCGTTTTTCCGCAGCGCTGTAGCTCTATCCTTTCCTGAGCTATAGGCCAGTTTGTCGAAAATTGTCAAAGGTTGACCTGGAAATTGGCGAAATTTTACGTTCGATGACCTCTGGTGACCTGACCTTTGATTTGACTTAAAAGGTGACCATAGTTTTTTCTTCATCATTTCTTACGCTCTTTCGATCGCCGACTACGGTGTTTCGCTAGTGACCCAGGAGCCAAGTTAGTAGGGGGTGTTCAAACTCCACCTCCAGCAGGACGTGGAAATCCAGGAGCCCCAGCGGGGCGCGGGTTAACCCCCATACGTATAGGGGTAGCGGGTATTTTTCGAGAATAGATCACGTTAAAAGGGTCGGATCACGAAAAAACTGTACCATCGAGCCGATCATTTTTATCTGTCCTGAAAATGGCATGACCTTAACCCGAATAACCGTTGATTTGTGAGATCTTTCTTGAGATCATGGCAGGCCACCAATTCTCACTTCAAGAAGTTACAGCAGGACCCGATTAACTCGGCAGTTGTTATTGACCTATGGAAGGTCACCCAATGACCAACGACCTTTAAATTGGGTAGCAGCGGCTGCTCATCTTCACGGGCAACACGCTCAATTTTTCTGCAAAGCTCCAGCTCAGAGACCGAGATGCTCAGGTCAGGGTGCAATGGACGACTCCTCTCCCTTGCGTTAGTGACTGTGAAAGCGCCAATAGACGAGCGCCGGCTAGTACATGACAATTACTTTCCACGACTGTACGGAATGGTGAGCAGCTACATGAAAATTGGCATGCGCCAGCTAATCAGTTCATGCTTTGTGCGTTTGACCTCGACTAATCTTTGAATCCTGGGGCACAACAGTTGCGATGTTTGTCCCATCAAGGGAGCCATTAATTCTAAAAAAAAGATGAGGCTTTCTCAGAGGCCCTCATTACCCCCCACCGAAGGGCGCCATTACCCCCAAAGGGGGCATGCCCCACCATTTGCCGACCCCTGGTTTATACAGTCAAATCACTTCTGTGAGCTGTATGCATAGTTGCCGTTTCCCTGTCAACTAGCCTTTTTGGCAAGGATGCCTGATGCTATCCGAATTCCTTGAGGTTTGTACCCAACAGTTGACCACTGACGGATCCAAGCGGGTGGGGGGGGGGGGGGGTGGCATTTGGGGAAAAGGCGCCCAAAATCAACTAAAGTTTGTGTTTTTTCGAGAATAATAAAACAAAACAAGTAACAACTTTGATCAGAAAAAGTTTGCTTTAAATTGCGCAGGGGTGCGTCAGACTAAGGACTCGAAATCCGAGGAATTTTTGGACATTGGAAAAACTTTTCTTCGGGGTGTGCCCCCCCCCCCCCGCAGCGTCCAATACCGCCTTTCCGGATCCACCAGTGTAGTTGACTACAGAATGATGTTCCACTGGTTCCACTCCTCAGAAGCTATATATTAGCAGGAACGTTAAGATGCGCCGTTTATCACGCATTAAACTGTGAACTCAGCCCATGTGATGCGGCAGATGCGGCACAGCCTACCACCCCAGCCAACTGATTGCCATTGAAAAGTGGAACATCATTCTGAAGTAAATCGTACGGAGTAAGATAATGGCTAATGATTCATATGAGCCCGGAACCGATTCTTACAAGAAGAGTGAGTAAGCCTTCAATAGCTGGGATATTGTGTCCGCATCCAGAGCCGACCAACACGTAGTGATAAGAGCCCGTTTCGAGCCGTTTCGGCGCTCGCTATTTGCTCCCTATCGGCATGGCCTAGGATAAAGAAAGGTCTATGACTTGGCCATCGCTCGGTGGCAATACTCCCGGTACAGGCCAGATCGAATCGGCATTTGGGGCGGGCTGTAAGGCGTATCGACGATGTCGACACGATTTAACCATGTATATTGACGCGTCTTTTACATTAGCAAGCAAACCGTAAACCGCCTCTTATATACCCGTTGATTCCGACGAGACGGTTTTGAACACCTACTACAGACATAATATTTATCGTGCTAAAGTAATGAAACAAAGATTTGCCAGTAGCCTATTGCTATAAACAGGGGCTTCGCTATCGTGGGTCGCGTGCGGTGCTCATTACCGTAATTCAGCTTAATGTATAAAGGCGGGCGTTTTTTTGGGGTCGGATCCCCCCATCTAGAGACGGTGGTGGAGCCCCGAGTACACCAATATCCAGACCGTGTGGTCCAAATAATACATCGCTACCTGGCCTTGTCCTTTGGATCACAAGATCAGCAGCTGATTGCTTCGGCCACATGACCGCATATTGGACCGCTTTTGCATTGACATTTTTGTCAATGGCTGGCTATGCACTATGACTGAATGTTGACTGTTTCCCTCAAAGCCGTCTAGAATATGCTCAACGCAACGATTAAATTTCCTAAACTCCTGCATAAAAGCGTTCTTTCCCGTTATGTTATAAACGACAGTCCTGTGCAAGTGAACCGCTGGAAATGCGAAGTTGAAATGCGAGGTCAAACCTTGTACAAGGTTTGACGTCATTAAAGCCCGCATATGACCGGAGCTGCTTAACCCTCGCCCATGTAGGGGGGGGGGTTGGTGCAACCCCCCCCCCCCTGAGGTTTTTCGGAAATAGTGCAAAAACGGCGGCGCGCAGCGCCGCCAAATTTTGGGTACCTTATGGGGCAAACCTTGCGCATCTTTTGATAAAAAAATTTGACCGGGTCATGTCAGGTCACGGAGTTATGACGTCACAAAGGGAACAGCCTCCGGCCGGATTTTCACAAACTGAGTGCCAACGCCCGAGGTTTCCTGCCGGTGGTACGGACATCGGTTGATGGATCGTGATGAAACTTCCCATGCATGTTGGGGCAAGTATTGGCTATCATATGGTATAAGAAACTTGACCGGGTCAGGTCAGGTCACGGAGCTATGACGTCACAAGAGGAACAGCGTCCGGTACTATTTTTGAAAAGCGCCCGAACCACTATTTTGCTAATTCTTGTCACCTCAATGGGAATATGCAGCAATATTAGCTTCTATAGGGAGCAAATGGACATCCCAAATCCAAAAATACAATCAGATTTCAAAAATTTAAATTTTGATTTTTCGAATTTCTGCCGCCGACTGTGACCTTGCCGACTTCCGGCGCTCCCAACGCGCCATTTTTAGAGCTAGGGAAACGAAATACATACCAAACGATAGAGAATTGATCAAGGAACACGATAGTGAAGGTTTCAAGTCGATATCTCCCACCGTTTTGCCGCAATCGCCGCGGAAAATTTGAAAAAGTCTATTTTTCCGAAAATTTGACCTTTGACCGGTCAAAAGTAGGTCAAATGTTGACCTAAGACCAAAAAATATACCACCAATCGCGAGATCTCGGCGAGAGCAATCCGTTGGTCTTTTCCGCTAAGCTCTACGACGCTCCGTTTTCAAACGCCAAGGGGGAGGGTCGCACCAACCCCCCCCCCCCCTGCATGGGCGAAGGTGGCAGATCGCCGTTTACGGGCGAGGGTTAAACATTAGGTATCCACTACCTACCGGTGCAGCCATTCGAGTTGCGCACTTGAAATAATTCATGTCAAAGTTTGTTATAAGCGGCGTCAACATGCAATATGCCGTCCTATAGTGGAACTATTGACGGCGAGCCTGAGCGAGGAGGTTTATTGAGCACTGCAGTGAACGATGGGCAGCCGGCCCCGCGGACGGTGTCCGTGAAATACAGACCTTGGTCACCAGCTGAACCAGTTCAGCAGTTCAGTCTCATTTATCATGTTACAAACCTAGCATGTTG